AAATTCAATTTCATCATTGACTATAAGTGTCAATTACAACAATTAAGCACCTAAATGTTATCACTCCCTTATCTATGCTTACTCACACATACCATGACTAGCTATCACTCATTCTAAGCATTATCACACTTACTATTAGATTTCCCCCATTATCACACTCACTATCAGATTTCCCCCATTACTCTCTCTCTCTCTATCTAAATTATGTTAATTCAAGCATATAACTTCAAAACTTTATCGTTCTAACTCAAATTAGTCACAAAGTTTTAATTTAATTCTAGAGATCCTTTCCATTAACATGGGGTAAGAAATCATCTCCTTAAAACTTCTGAATTCAATTTCTCAATAGTTTATACTAAGAGAAAATAGAGTAGAATTGAAGGTTAAAGCAGTACAAGACTTACTCGATAAGTAACAGGTTGGAAACATCATCCTTACTCCTGAAATTACTTGCTCTAATAGAGCTCCTCTCATTTCTCTCCCTCTCTTGCTTCTTTCTTTGTTTTCCTCTCTATATCATGAGTTGATACATGTCCTTATCCACTAAGTTTCTGCACCATGTGTCGCGACACATTCAACACTAGCTGTAGTTCATGGCATAGTAAGGAAACTCCTCACCGCGCTCACATGCTCTACTTCACAATGCCATCCTGCCATGCTAATCTATTCATATAACATTTCAAAGAGTCAAAATGACATTCCACCATTTCAAACCCTTATCTAACATTAATTTACTAATTCATCCTTAATTAGCAGTAATGTAGGGATCAGAAATTTCAGGATGTTACAAATACTTTCTTATTCAAGTGTGAAATGACACTTCATAATATGCAAAGGAACATAAGGTGATAATTCAAGCATGCATACACAAGGGTACCTTGCATGAATTGGAGCACGAAAGCTTCATCAAAGTATCACACAAACACAGGTGACAAATCACACGTGGATCACCACTAATCAGGCATGAAACGTCAGTCAGTGTGCCTAGAGTAATAAATCATGCATGTGACCATGTAGAATCATGTGTGAATCATCATGTAGAGAAAAGCTCAACTTCTATTATCTAATTCAAGCTAGAATGACATTACTCCCAAGCTTGAATTGACTAAGTCTTAAGGTGCACAAATAAGACTTATGAGCTTAAGATTATGCATTCATTTTAAGATTGATAACATGTAATTAAGCTCTCGAAATTTTCACATTGAATTTAAGAGAAATCAATAATTTATCCTATAAATCTTCTTTTTCTCTTGATTCTTCATGCCCTTGAGGTTTTGTCTTCCTTCATAAATATTTATATATTTGCACACATAACACATTTCCTTTCTTAGTTTTGTAATCATCAAAACATATGATTCAACATTTTAATCATCCCAAGTCATGGCTCTCACTCTAAAATGCACTCAAGCATCACAAGATTATATAACACAAGAGCAAGGTTAAAAATCAATCCACAAGATTACGCAAAACTAATTCCAAGAAAATTTGCATTAATAAACCATAAAATTATGCAATTCATCAATATGGTAGAATTAAGAAGAGTGTCAAGACCATAAGAAGGATTCAGAAAAGTCATCTTTTATTAACAAAGTGTACTCCAATTAGAGTCCAAGTTGATCACAATGTAAGTTAAATCGAGAACTACAAAGTGAATTAAAATGAAAGGGCTATGTAAAATTAATTCTCAGCTAAAGAAGCAAGTGTAGAACCATGGCTCCTTCTCCTTCCTTCTTTCTCTAGAAAACAAGAGTAGCTTAGCCTTCAAGCTTCATAGAAGTCTCCTTCAAGTTCTTGAATTGGTAGAATTTCTTCATGCTTCCAAGTGGAATTTAAGGCTTTGGATGGATAATCAAATTGTAGGGATGAATAGGATTTGATGAGAGGAGAAGAATGGTAAAGTTTTTGTGAAGATCTAATGGTTGGATGAAGAGTGAGGGTTTAGGTGTGTAGAGAGAGAAAGGAGAGAAAATGAAGAACAATATGAACTAGAGAGAAGATGAAGATGGTGAAGAATTTGTGTTTTGAATGTGAATATATGGGTGAAAGCAAGCGTAGAATGGGTTTCTCATGAACTCCAATTAATACAATAAAAGAAAAATAAAATAAAATGTAAGTGAAACCAAGTCACATGAAAGAGGCTTGCTATGTGGCACTCTCCTATTGGCTTGTAAATGATTCCTATATGTGTCAAATTAATCTCATGCATCATTCTCATTTTAACTAGATCTAGCCCACCCAATGAAGGAGAGAGCATGCCACTTGGAATTAGACTTTGAAACTTTAACCTCTTTGCTCAATTGATGTACACATCACATGTCACCTATGTTACAATATACACTAATTCAATTTAATAATATGTGACATCATAAAATCTAATTAAAATGTAGCTTTGTATTTATATTTAGAAGGGAAAATATACTAAAATATCCAACAATTAACACACCAAATCTGTCCCAAAATTTATACACAAATGAAACTCCAAAACTAGGTCAATTAGACACATTTTGGAAAGTCAATGAAAAGTGTTGACTTTTATTTAATTACTTTCAAACCAAAATGAATTTATAAAATATAATTTGACCACTCTTCGCACTTAAGATACAATTTTTTTAATTTTCTTATATGTTTTCTCATAAGTTTAATTTCTGGATTAAAATACCCCTGTATACAACTTCAACACTTGTGCAATTTTCTCACTGTTAACACTAAATGCATTCCATGGGAAATAAAACATGACAAAATAGGCCGTAAATAGATAGATAAAATGTGTAAATAATCTATTTTATCATAGACCAAAAGCTCTTTTGGATTTTTTTTTTTCCAAACATCCTTTCAAAATTTTCTTTGAGCTTTTAATATCCGAAATGAATATAGCTCTATCGGTGAAGCAAGTATGAAGAATTATGCAGTATGAGCCTAATTCTCTTTTGGGTAACACTCTCAAAGTAAAATACATTGATTCTTCACATAATCTAACCTTCAAAAAGCCATACAATGCTTCATGGTTTTGGAAAGAAATTTTTGAAACAACAAATCTCATCAGAGATCATCTAACATGGCAAGTTGGAAATGGGGAACATATGTCGATTAAACATGCTAAATAGTGGTCTACCAGAAATGCGAATATAGGACCAGAGCTAAATATTATTAGTGGTAGATTTGATTATCACAGGAACTAATCCTTGGAAGAAGTTGGAATGGAATCTTCCCTTGCTCAATAGATTATGTGAACCAAGAACAGTTCAGGAAATTTCTCAATATTCTATTTCTTTCCATGACAAACAAGACAAACTTCTTTAGAAGGGTGGAATTTCTGTGAAAATGGGATTTCACTTTTCATATGGAGGGATGATGTGCACAAGTCTATCCCCACCTGTGACATCCTCGCCAATCACCATCTTCTAAACTCAACTTTATGCCCTTTTGGTTCTGACATTCAGGAATCTCTTAATCACATTTTTTGTGGCCGCCCCTTTACCAAATCAAGCTGGTTTGGCTCTCTCTATTAATTCCACTATTATTTCATAGCAAGGACTAATTGACTGGCATATCTTTGTCTCTAATGTCTTCATCGCTCTTCCCAGCATCATATCATAGAAGGAACTTTCCTTCTCTTACATTTGACTTGGAGTAAAGAAAACATAGCCATTCATCAAGGACTACATTTTGTCCGTCCCAAATCATCAAGGAATTTAAGGGTCAACTTAACTACCTTAAGTCTGTGTATTTGGAAGTCAAAAGCTAAAACACCTAAAATTGCTCACACTGGCAATTCTCAAACCATACTTACACTGGACAGAATTCAGAATGCAGGGACATAAGAGCAACTCTAAAATGGAAGATAAGGCTAACAAAGTTAAAAAAAAAAAAAAAAGCATCTTACCAGTTGTGCGGCTGTCATCTATTTAAATGATGAAGAGCTTCTTCGATTTTTGATTATACGGTCCCCCAACACAGATCCAACTTGCCTTTATGCTGCATGTATCCAATCCGTCTTGCACTGAATGTGTACTTTTTTCAATTTTTTCTTATGCTTCAGATCCTTTGGTAGCCAATCCCTTGCTTGGACATCTAGATATCATCATTCACAAATGAGGTTTTGCTCCATTTCTCTTCAAGGAGAATCAAGATGTCAGAGATCGGGATGTTCATTATCTGCTCTGCTACTTTTGATATGCCTCTATCATCAAGCTTACTTTTTTCTTGGTCTTATGACTCTTATAATGTCTTCCTTTTCATTAATGACTTTTACATCGTACTTACCTTTTATTTTATTAATATCATTTGACTTTTTTCCCAAAAAAAAAAAAAACAAATTGGATCTTATCCAAACATACTCTAAGATTTCCTGAGTGAAGGACTAATATGGTTGAATTCTTACCTTCAAGTTATTGATTTTAGTGAGGACTTCTATCTCAAATGGAATCATGCAGTAAAGTAGGAGGTTCTAACTCAAATAAGAACATAGTTTTTGTGTGAAACAGAATGTTATAGAATTCTATTGAGTATAGATTGAAATTAAGTACGGCATGAATATTGAGAAATATATTACCTGAATTGACATTAGCTTTCAAAATAATTTAGTTTACTGAGTCAAATTTAGTCTTTAACATAAAGATTTAGATGACAAATAAAACTAATTTGTATTAGTTTCATCGAGTTTAGGTTCCATTAATGGTAATCTAACTGACATGTATGGAGCATAATTGTTTGGAGCCTATGTAGACATGGAGACCAAGATAAATAAGTATTCTCCTTCCCTAAAATCAACAATCTCGCTAGTGATTAAGGAAAAAAAAAAAAAAAGTCATTTCCATCAAACTGTTAGTTTTTATTGCATTTTAAGTAAAAAGAAAAAAAAAATTTAAAAAAAAGGGAAAAAAGTAGCTACAACTTGTCTCGATGCAAGAGTGTTGTGTTCAAATTAAAAAATTGGAATTAGAAAAATGAAGGGAAAGCATACAATCATTCAAATTATTTACATATATCACGGTTTCTACACAAAGATTGTCTAAAACTAAATCTGACAAATTAAATTTACTGTGTACCTGTTCTAATATAATATGCAGGTATTTAAATAGAAGACAGGCACTGACGTGAAAATAGAATCAAATAAAGTTATGCGCAGTGTAACATAATAAAAAAAATTGAGCAAACAAGGAAATATAAAAAATGGATATTCACATAATAGCCTCCATCTGAAATCAGAGACATGTTGCAGCTAAAACTCTTTGAAAGGGAAGCACGTCTATACAGAATTATTTTTATAAATTAATGCTTTTGGAATTCCAAACAATAACTTGAAGATGAACTGGAGGGGAAAAGGTCCATCAAACCATTCGCAACCTTCTTTCGCTCAGATATTCCATCTTGATCAATCTCTTGTCATTCTATGATGCATCAAGTCTCATCAAGTTGTTCATTTTCATATTTTTTATGAAAATGAGTCCAACGCATCTAACACAGCCTCCAACTTGTCAGTCTCAGGAGCTTTCTTGGTAAAATTGAGACGAGTCTGCCGGCAACGCTTCTGAGGAACTAGTGAAAGGAACAAAGCTCAGTTATATCATTTGAATGTCAATAATGGAACAAGAGAACAAGATGAAGTTACTTAAAAAAGTACAAGTTGAGAAACATTGTTGAGAGTTCTGCAAAGCCAAGCTGAATATCTGAAAAACTAAAACTAAATTTGGTCACAAAGAAAGCACAAAATGCGTCCGTACCTTCTGCTTTGTTTTGATCCTTGGATACAAGTACTGAAGACTTCCATTTGTCATATTCATGTTTTTCCATTTGTTTGCGCTTCTTATAGCTTGAAAGCTGGAGAATGCAAATAGCTGAATTCAATAAAAGATTTCACGGCATAGTAGAAGATAATTCATTCTTCATGCAATCGGACCAATAACTTCTAAAAGTAGTGTCTCAGCAACCAGCTGAATATGAACATATGACAATGTTACATGTTGAATAGTTAAAATGCTACAGAATGGCAATGGCAAAAAATAATGTTACATTTGACTGTAACACACTGTCCTCACTTTTTAAACAGGAACCAAGGTGGATAATACTACATAATGGATAAACTCATTTCATATTTGCTTATTCAACTGCACTTTCTGGTGTCCACATTTCCCACAATTCTCACACATTACCTACTATAATGAATCAGTTAAGAATGAAGCCTTTGCCTAATAGAAAGAAGGCCTTCCGATGAAAAACTGCAATTGCACATAGGTCATGACCTTACAGACAAGCCCAGTCGGTTTATTACGCAGAAACTAGAAAGAGTAATTAGTCAGTTCCCTATATCAAAATTAATGGAAACTAGGAGGAGCATGTGACTGGTGAATGTTAACCAAACTGAACCTCTAACTTAGTAGCAATCTGTAGGCTCATCAATCATATACTAGTCATCCCAGTTGGCCTTTAGTACATGCTATTATTGTTATATATCCTTAGTGATAAAAAAAAAAAAAAAACTCTACCTTGGATTGATGATTGATGGAACCCAACAAAGTAACTACACTCTCCACTTAAAACATAGCAAGGCAGAAACAAGATAAAAAATAATCAATGTGATCTATGATCTTTTTTGCCCCCGCAATTATGTAAATCACAATGGCGTAGAGTGTATAAAACATAGTAGATACTTGAACAGAGTTTGCATAGTGGTGTCTCACTGAGCGTAGAATAGACCAGATTAACTTAACTATTAGAAAAGAGTATAGGAACTCAAATAAAGGTAGTTGTAATAATTACATTTGGTCCTTCATCAGACGAATAACCTCCATCTTCAATTCTCCTTTTTTCTGGCAACGCATCCAATAAATCTGAACAAAAATTTTAACTTCAGTTCTTTTAATTTTGTGTTGGGGAAGCAAAAGATATATTACTAGGTCAACATTGATAGGAAAACTCAAGGAACACTTCAAACACCACTTGGCGCTCAATTAATGCAGTGAAATGAAAGATGCGACAGGAATCTACCTCGATTTGTCTTTACTTCTCTCGGATTCTTCTTTTCTTTGGCAACTCCAAAAATGTCATAGCATAGGTCCTTCATGGAAGTAGAAACCTACAGTGGACATTCAGAATCAGTTCAAGAGAACTAAAATCAAACTGGAACTTTCATATTTATACAAGATACCAAAGTTTATATAGCGCTTACACTAGAGAATTCAGATTCAGATGTACCACATTGTTCGATTAACTTAAGCTTGTCTACTTTGAGCTGCAAAATAAACAGTAATAACTGGTTAAACCACACACAGAAACAATTCATATTCTATCTTAGGGTATATGGGAAATGTAGGTACCTTGTGTTTTTTTGCACATAAATAAAAAGCAACGGCAGTGAACACCGGACGAGTAAAGTCAGCACTTGCACGTCGAGAAGCAGGCAATGATGACAGAAAACGTTCCTTGTAACTGAAAAGAATACACACACAATAAGGCATCTCTAATTCCTTTAGCAACATAAGCACAATTGAAACAGAAACAATGAGCAAATTCTAATCCCCTTAGAAATATTTCGTCAAACATCTAGTAGGTATTGTGCTGCAAATGGTGAAAGAGTAAAAGGAAAATTGAACATACAGATTCAAACCGTCTCGAACATTTGAAATAATTCGGACACACCCAAACTGAATTGCTAATTCTCTGACATCAAGCTTTGCCCTGCACCACCAAATGATTTACAATTCAGTAAACATCCATTCAGGTATAGCACGAACCATACAATTGATAATTAAACAGAAGGAAATCCCATGAGAATAGAGACAAAACCCACTTGATGCCGAAACCATTGTGTAACAAGTTGTAAGATCTGATATATGCCTTTTCCGACATCCCACTTAGCCTGATGGCACTTGATCGATCAAACAAGGCGCCCATCCTGCAGGATAGAATACATCTAAACAATAGAACCAAAAAAACCCATTGAAGGAACTCAACTAAGCAACGAAAATTTAGCCCAAAAAACTAAGCAACGGCACAAGTACCTCGTGGCGGCAATTTCCAAGCAAATTATAGCTTTACAAACTTCCCCCTACAGGCAAAAATTAACACGCTGAATAGTTGGCATCTGGAATACGTAATTGAAAGCCAGAGTTTCAATAGGAGACTGAACTTACAACTCCAATGACAGAGGAATCGAACTGAACATCGCATAGGCGCCGGAGTTCCAACGCTTTTCGCACAGCGAGTTTGGAATCTGATAGTCCGAGCTTCTTGGCTATCTCTGACATATCCATTTTCCTGAAATTCCCTCGGCAGAATGGAGAAGAAGATCTGTGCTTTGAAAGGGTGAATCCAGGATTGAATGAAATGAACAACGTAGATGAGGTAATGGCATTGGCGGGAACGCGAGCTCATATTGCACTTTTACCTTGAATATTCTCGCGCGCAGAGTTTTGCGGAAAACTTTTGGCGCCTCGTCGAAATTGTTGACGGAAATGTGATTCCATGAGTTTGAAGTTTAATTTAATTATTATTTATTCTGAAATTTTAATAGAAAAATCGAACAGCGGCACTTAACAACTAAAATAAAAATAAGTTTATAAATAAAATAACAAAAATATCTTCACTTTAAAAAAAAATCCTCCTCCACGACTACTAACACCAAACATTGGTATTTGTCAAAATTCCAGCCACCAATGAAATCACTAATACCCCATTTCGTATGCTGAAAATAATTTTGGTAAAAATAAAAATATATACTAAAATGAAAATGAATATAGGTTTAAAAATAGAAAAAATGACAGTAAAATCCCTTTAAATTATCGAAATGATATATTAGTCTCACGAAATGGTATAATTCTCCTGAAATCCCAAAAGATGTTTCTATCATTAGAGAATTATATGAAATGAAATTTTTGCCCTTTATTCAAATTTTAAAATAAATTCACAACTTTTCATTTACAATTTTTGTTCTTATATTAACAATTTTTGTTTCTAAATTTGCAACAATTTAAAGCCATTCACAAGTCCTAATCTGCAAGTCTTGATATATATCAGGTGTTAAAATTTCGCAACTTTTCATTCACAACTTTTGTTTCTATATTAACAATTTTTGTTTCAAAATTCATAGCAATTTAATAACCATTCGCTCTTTGCATCTGCAAGTATTGATATGCATCATGTGTTGAAATTTCACAACTTTTCATTCACAACTTTTGTTCATATATTACCAACTTTTGTTTCTAAATTCACAACAATTATATAGTCATTAGCAAGTCTTGATCTACAAGTCTTGATATGCATCAGATGTTAAAAATTCATAACTTTCAATTCACAACTTTTGTTCCTATATTAACAACTTTTGTTTCTATATTAATAACAATTCAATAGCCATTTACAACTCTACACCTGCAGGTCCTAATATGCATTAGGTGTTAAAAATTCACAATTTTTGTTCATATATCAACAACTTTTGTCCTTAAATTCACAACAATGCAACAAGGAATTATAATTTATTAGTGCCCTCTATAAATTGATTAAATCAGCAAAAATGAATTACCATTCTAATCCAAGAAATAAGAACTTTCAGTAATTTAAATGACAAGAAAACCTTAAAAAGTGACAACTATCTAAGGTTTTGTTGTTAGTTACATCATCTACAACTTGCATAAAAAATACCCTACAACCCTTTTAACAAAAATATATGATGGGTTGAATCTTCTATATATAAGATGTCTTAGTTATATCATATTCACAATCCAAAAAAACAATAGTCATCTTTACACACTATACAAGACAAAAGCCAGTTGAATTTACAAAATATGCACAAAACGGGTGTCATATACACATTATATCCTAGCTTGGATTAAGATTTCTATAAGTCTTGCGTGTATGACCTGGTTAATAGCATAGTGAACAATGAGAAATCTTATTGTTCCTATATTTGTATGGAAACTTCTGGGCAATGCTATATTTGTACAATGCTTTTTTAAAGGCTTCAACATGAGGAAAGGTCTACCCTACACCTGATAACAAATCCCTCCGCTTAAAAGAATTATGCTCTAGCATCAATGTAGGTGTACTTTGTCCTTCACATAGTAATATTAGATGTTCTCTAGAAGTTTGGTAGGTTAAACACTCTCCACCACTTTCAAAGGCTACACATTCAAAATCATGATCTTCAATAGCAAGGGAAGGAGAGTTTGAATCTAACTAAAAGTGACAAGAATTGATCCATCATGCATTCACAATCTATCCAACTTCATGTGTCATTTACATTTATATTGACAATCATAACTTTAATTACTAAAATAAAAACTATCCTATAACAAATGACAGCTTTGTTTAGAGGAATTAACATAGTAACTTATACTAGTGCTTCCTCAATTGTTATTTCTCTACTATCATTTCCTTTACAACTTATATATCCATGATTACTTCCAACATTTGATCAAATGGGGTAGCAATTCCACCATCATCAATGAGGTCTACAAGGGTCATTTCATCAAATCTCACAATGTATTTCATGTCACTCAAATTATGTTAATGTCAAACAAGATGATATCATTATTTTAAATTCTTCAAGTGTCATTTCTTCTCTTATCATTTTTATCCTCACACTCCCCCCATCATATTGTATTTTACCTTTAATATTTTTAACAAAATATCCCCTTATGTGTAAATAACAAAATAGTTCCTTTTCAAAACTAGAAGCAAAAGAAGCCATTTCTCATGCCAATCTACAATAATGAAATAGCCATTCATCAACATGTCTATTTCCTAAATATCATGATCACATATCTGTTATGTTTTATCCAACAAGCATTCTTTTTATATTCACAACTTTATATTAGTTACTCACAACTTTGATTTATACATTTACAATACAATTGAAAATGATATATCATTTATCATTTATCCATGAGTAAGCATTCGTACCCACGTATAGCAGAGAAAATGAAACCACAATCATGGAGAAAAAATGAAGACCTCAATCATTTATGCACATTAACCCATATCAACTTCAACTATCATATATGGGAGGAGAAATTTCCAAGGAGGAGAAGAAATTTTTCCACATACAGTAGAGCTAATAGAGGAAGAATTATTGCTTATATATACCCACGCATAGTAGCTCAACAAACAAAAATCACCCATGTATAGTAGCTCAAAAAAAAAAGACAAACAAAAAGGAGATGCAAAAGCAAAAGTAGAAGAACTAGAAGAAGACCACCAAGAAGAGAAGAAGAGGAGAAAAAGATGACGATAAAGTGGAGGCAAGGATGTGCACCAATTACTCTGCATTGAGGCTTAGGATTTTTATATTATTTGAGGGCAATTTGATCATTTTCTTTAATTACCTAATGATAGAAAAACTACATGGGACTCTAGGGTAATTATGCCATTTCGTGGAACTAATATATCATTTAGATAATTTAAAAGGATTTTTCTATCATTTTCCCTTAAAAATATGTCTGTGTGTTTATGAAATCCTCATATTATTTTTATCAAAAATATGTACATTTATAATATTAAAAGACCAAAATACCCTTACTTAAAAAAACCTTAGACTAACAAAACCACCATCCACCACCATCAAAGTCACCATCCTTAGTAGAAATACCATCCATCAACAACTCAAATCAAACAACCTTTTAAAGCAAAAACAACAATTAAAGACAAAGAGTTAAAGATGGTGAATCGAAGGTGTGGTTGAAGATCTAATTGTCATTATCATTGAGATCTCGACAAAGAGGAGGTCTATCGTCGTAAAGACAAAGTGGGGAAGAAAACAAAGATAAGCTTCAACCATGACTTAGTAGTCATCGTCATTGCCATTTGTAAAGGAGAAGAACATCAAGGTTTTGTTAAGAAGGTTGGAGTTTTTCTCAAAGAAGATCATTGCTGCTTGGACCTAGAAGATTGAGAGGTAGAAATTGAGTGCGAAGAAGATTGTGACAGACAAACTCACCACTATCAATAGAGGAGGTTGCTGCCAACTTGTCGTTGAGAAACTTGCTAGAAGTGAGTAAGAAGTCAATAGGAAAGTTGACAAGAGATGAGGGAGGAAGGGGTAAAAAATGAAAAATGGAACATGGTACTTAGGTTTTATCATGAAAGACTATTAAATTAGAATTGGAAATCCATCATATCAAACAAACATTTTTCCTATTTTTATTTCTATATCTGTAACCATACTATCCATTTCCATTATAGCAAATGGGTAATAAGGGTGCATTTAAATACATGAGGAATTGGATTTGAATTCGAACAAAATCCCCCATTTGGATATATAAAATATTTGGACCAAATTCAAATCTATATTTTATTATAACTTCTTCATAATTTCAAGTTCCTTTTAACACTAGTTATTTGAAATTCCACATACTATAACCTTATCATATTATTCATGTTTTCACTATCAGTACATCAATTATTATCACCACTCCTATCATTTCTTGTTCTCATGTCTCATTGATTGAAAAATAGGTAAGCTTATCTCTTTCGATCTTCCATTTTTGCTTTAAATCTTAACTCATCTCTCTTTTATCTTTAAAATTTTTTATACTTTTCAAACAAAAGATTTTAAATACATAAATTTTAAATGAAATATTTTAAATATAAGATTCTAAATTTAAAATTTAAATTCAAATCTGTCAATCCAAATGTTAACTTATGGTAATTAGGGGAATTTGAGCCTATAACCCCTTAACTCCCAAACAGGTTTATTGTCACCAAATCTATTTAATTATATGAGGCAAAGAAATTACTCTATCTATTAAAAAATGTAAGATATTTTTATTGAATCTTGCTCTCTAATAAAATAATTATTTTTCTTCAAACTAAACCTATATTTTCATTGTTACCCCTATTTAATAGGTGTTTCACCTGAAAATTAATATAAAGTAATTTATTCAATAGGGATATTTTTGAAAAAAAGGCAATGATTACACCTTAAAAAACTAAAAATGCCTTACATTTTTGAATATACAACCTCTCAAAAAGTGCCTTATATTTTTGAATAGAGAAAGTATATATGTAATAATTTTAGCTTCCAAATCACAATTCCTTGTTGCAACATAAAACTGACTCATTAAATTATTAGCCTAACTTGTCATTTTACTAATTTTACTTGTTAATCTATCATGGTCAATTGCAAATTATCAAGTTTGAAAGTTCAAGAATTTCATAAGTTCTCATTTATAAATTGACCATTAAACGTTAATAAAATAGCATATTTACATAGATAATAAATTTAGTTTTTAAAATAATTGCTTGTTACAATGTTCACACTTAATTCAACTTGTCATTTTACTAATTCTACTTTTAATTAATTTCTCAAAAAAAGATGAAGATATATGTGCTTATATATTTTTTTTGAAGGTTTTATTCAAGGGAATTTGCTTTTGATAATTAATATT